ATGATCCTATACATAGAAAACCCAAGAGACTCAGCAAGAAAACTACTGGAATGAATGGAAAGATTCAGCAAAGTGACAGGATACAAGATCAACATACAAAAATCAGTTGGATTCCTCTAAATCAACAAAGGGATCTCAGAAAAGGAAATAAAAAATAAAATAATAATAATAATAATAAACATCATTTACAAAAGCTCACGAAAAGATAAAATACTTAGGACTACATCTTACCAGGGACACGAAAGACCTATATAAAGAAAACTACAGAACACTACTGTAAGAAACTATAGAGACCTACACAAATGGAAGAATATGCCATGCTCATGGATAGGAAGATTGAATATTGTGAAAATGTCAACACTACCCAAAGCAATTCATATATTCAACACGATCCTGATGCACATTCTTGAGGACATAGAAAAACCAATCACTAATTTTATATGGAAAGGAAAGACAGTATGGATAAGCAAAGCACTACTGAAGAAGAAAAGAAAGTAGGAGGTCTCATACTTCCTGATCTCAAAATCTACTATATAGCCACTGTGGCCAAAACAGCCTGGTACCGGTACAACGACAGACACATAGTCCAGTGGAACAGAACTGAGAATCCAGAAATAAATTGATACACCTATGGACAGCTGATCTTTAACAAAGGGCCAAAACCCATTAAGTGGGGGAGAGATAGCTTCTTTAACAAATAGTTCTGGCAAAACTGGATATCCGTTTGCAGAAAAGTCAAAGAAGATCCATACCTCACACTATACACAAAAATGAGTGTAGGATGTATCAAACACCTAAATGTAAAACCCAAAATTATAAAGTTCATGAAAGATGAAATAGAGGCCCTAATTTATGGCATAAATAGACAATCAAGCATAACTTGAAATGCAGAAGATAAACTAGATGACTGAAACCTTTTAAAAATTAAATTCTTATGTAGATGAAAAGAATTCTCTAAAAGAGTAAAAAGAGAACCTACAGATTGGGGAAAAAATATTTGGCAATGACGTAACTGACAAGGGACTCATTTTAGTGCAGTGAATTGCTTAATATGGCCATAGTCCTTCTTTATACATATATATATAGTAATTTGGGTACAAATTTATACAGCAGATTCATTGTACACTCAACAGTTCATACACATTTTGTTTCACAACACCAATTACAATCCCAGTAATAAACAGCTTACCTCCGATCTCCTTCCCGTGATTACTCCTTCCCCATGTCCTTCTTACCTATGCATTCCTGTCTGTCTAGCTTTTCCCCTATGCAAATACTGATCTATCACAGTTGACTATTCTAAGGGTTGCAAGTCTCTGGGGCTAGGTGTTCTGCTCATAGGCCTTTCTATTGTTTGGCTGAGAGCTCACAGAAGTGAGTCCAATTCCAGGCCCGAGGGGTAACACAGGGCCAAAGTCTCAGCAGTTTCACCAGTATCTCTCTGACCAGTAATTCTGGTCATTTTTGTGTTTTTGAATTTTGTTCTTCCACATTTTCCCTCCTACTCTATCCAAAATCTCCACTTTTGATTCCCTTCTGAGTGGTGGGCACTGGTAGCTGGGCACCATCCAGTTGTTTTGGTCTTAAGGTTGTGAAGGCTGAAGATCCCATGGCCATAAGCCCCTTGGGCTAATTGTTTCCATATGTCTTTGATTTTCTTCACTCTTCTTTGCTCCATATGAAGGGAGACCAATAGTTGCATCTTAGATGGTTGCTCAGAAACTTTTAAGACCCTAGTTACTACTCACCAAAGTAGGATGTACAACAAAATTTTTATGTACTACTGTGCTAATTAGGAGCTCTGGTAGCATAGTACCTAAGGCACTTGGCTGCTAACCAGAAGGCTGGCAGTTCAAACCCACCAGCCACTCCTCGGAAGGAAGGTTGGGCAATCTACTTCCATAGTGACACTGCCTCAGAAACCCAAGGAGGGGTTACTGAGTCAGATCCAACTCCACAGCAGTGAGTTTGTTTTTGTTTTTGTTAATCACTACTGTCTTTTGGATGACTAAACTCAGATTTGAAGAGATCATGCAGTGATATATTGGTGAGTGTTTAACAATAGACTCTCCTGAGAAAGAGGCCTTAATTTGTTCCATTTTCCAATTTCCATGGTGTAAGTACTCCTGCCATGGTCAATTTCAAGCTGCCAGCATGATATCACTGAACGTGGAGTAAGGAAGACATGAGAAAATTTAACTTGTGTGAGCAGGCTCCAGCACGAAATTACAGTTACATAAACTTGCTAGTAAATATGGAATAGGAACTCAAATCACTTTCTAGTACTATTGTCAATACTTTTATTACATATTATTTCTTAATAAATCATGAAAGTGAAAGCCAAAATTGAATGGAAAAAGAAAACAGAAGCAAATGAATCTTAAACATTACACTTAACTTATCCATTATATAGAATAAATAAAATTTATATTGGATTATGGAGAAATAAATAACCTAAGTTGATACGCTTCTCAGAAATTTATGAAAGATTTTTATGAAAGAGTTAGATTCTTCTGACTATCAATAATTCTAAGTCATCTGTTTAGTATTAATCTAAGAGTGATTCCAGCCAGGATTTGAGGAAGTGTGCCCATGAGGTGTCATCCATAGCTGTTACCTACTCTTGTTGTTGTTGTTATTGTTGTTATGTGCCTTCGAACTCATAGCGACCCCTCCTTGGGTTGCCGAGGCAGTATCACTACAGAAGTAGATTTTCCAACCTTCCTTCCGAGGAGTGGCTGGTGGTTTGAACCACCAGCCTTCTGGTTAGCAGTCAAATGCCTTAGGCACTATGCTACACCTACTCTTAAAACTAATTAATTATGTTGACTTACAAATATGACAGGAATATTTACCTACTGCTCATTTAAAAATCATTCATGTAAATAACAATGGTTTGATCTTTAACCTAATTTAGGAAAAAAGTGATATAGAAATAGCATATTGTTCTAAGAGTCTGTTGACTTCTTTAGCATTTATGTCCATGTGTCTTGTTAATGAAAGCCCTAATTATTTCTCTGAAGTTCCTCCCAGTGTTGCAGGTGCTGAAATGCCAGGTGAAGTCAGTGTCCTCCTAGGGGAAAATGTTGAACTGGTCTGCAATGCAAATGGGATACCTACTCCAATTATTCAGTGGCTGAGAGATGGAAAGCCCATAACCAGTGGTGAAACAAAAAGAATGCGGTATGTTTAGAAGGGACCGTTTTGTTATGAATTGTGAAGTGTTCCACAATGTGTTGTGCTTCTTATTTCTCATGAATCAAAATACCTTATTTAGTATCATTGTGACCTTGGCTATCACAATATTGACAAAACAAAAAGATAAAAATTAGCTTAAAACATAAGAATTTGGACACACAAAGGAAAATTTCTGTGCCCAGATTTTTCTCTTTTTGTCTTATGAATATTATGATAGCCAATTGTTTTATGTTTTTGATTTATGAATAATCCTAGTGAATAATTATCAATAATGTTAGATATTATTTCACATTGTGAAACCACCAAATAGTCTACAGGCCAGACTGCTTGACATCTTTTCAGAAAAGACAATGAATCATAAATCATAAATAAAATCAGTCCCTATCATGGTTAGTTGTAATCCCATTTTCATCTGACTCTTTTTACCCATGTTAAAAAAAAAAAAAAAACCACTGCCGTTGAGTTGGATCTGACTCATAGCAACCCCTCCTTGGGTTTCCAAGGCGGTATCACTACAGAAGTAGATGGTTCAACCTTTCTTCCAAGATGTGGCTGGTGGGTTTGAACCACCAGCCTTCTGGTTAGCAGTAAAATGCCTTACGCACTACACCACCAGAGCTCCCTTACACATGTTACACCACATAAAATAAGGAATAATAACACGACAAGTATCTCCTGGTACTTTCTTTATTTTTTTAGTTACATTTTTGCAGTATTCTCTCCCCTCCCCTCCCCTCCCTTCCCACTCCCTTCCCACTCCTGGTAACCAACAATGAAAATTTCCTTCCATATATAAACCTTTCCTTGAATTTTTACAATAATGAACTAATACAATGTTTGTCTTTCTGTGACTGACCTATTTCACTCAGCATAATGTCCTCCAAGTTGATCCACATTATGTGGTGTTTTGTAGATTCTACATTATTCTTTAGTGTTGCATAGTATTCCATTGTGTATATGCCGTAGTTTGGTTATCCATTCTGTTGATGAGTACCTATGTTATTTCCATAATTTTGCTATTGTAAATAGTGCTGCAATGAACAAGGGTGTGCATATATCTGTTCTTGTTCTGGCTCTCACTTCTTTAGGATATATACCTAGTAATGGGATTGTGGGATGAAATGGTATTTCTAATTGCAATTTTTAAGGACTCACCATACTGCTTTCCACAGTGGTCATATTATTTTACAGTCCCACCAGCAGTGTATGAGTATCCCCATTTCTTCACATACTTTCCAGCATTTGTTATTTTCTGTCTTATTGAACTTTGCTATTAGTGCTGGAGCAAGATGTTTCTCATTGTTTTGATATGCATCTCTCTAATGGCTATGGCTGTGCACATTCCTTCATATGCTTTTGGCTGCCTGAATATCCTCTCTGGTGAAGTGTCTGTTCATATTTTCTGCCCATTTTGAATTGGATTATTTGTCTTTTTGTTGTTGAGGTGTTGGAGTTTTCTGTAAATATTAGAGATAAGTCCCTTGTCAGTTATGTCATTGCCAAATATTTTTTTCCCTATCTGTAGGCTCTCTTTTGACTCTTTTGGAGAAGTCTTTGGAAACACATAAAAATTTAATTTTTAGGAAGTGTTATTCATCTAGTTTATCTTCTGCTGTTTGTGCATTTTCAGTTATGCTTGATAGTCTATTTATGCCATAAATTAGTGCTGATAAAATTGCCCCTATTTTTTCCTTGAGGAACTTTATAGTTTTAGGTTTCACATTGAAATTTTTGATCCATCTGGAGTTAGTTTTTGTGTATGGTGTGAGGTATGGATCTTGCTTTATTTTTCTGCAAATGGATATCCAGTTTTGTCAGCACCATTTGTTAAACAAATCATATTCCCCATTTAATGGATTTCAGCCCTTTGTCAAAAATCAGCTGACCATAAGTTAATGGATCTATTTCTGGGTTCTCAATTCTGTTCCACTGGTATATATGTCTGTCATTGTACCAATACCAGGCTGTTTTGACTACTCTAGTTGTATAGTAGGTTTTGAGATCAGGGAGTGTGAGACCTCCTATTTTGTTCTTCAATGGTGCTTTGCTTATCTGAGGTCTCTTTCCTTTTCAAATTAGTGATTGGTTTTTCCATCTCCTTAAAGGATGTTGATGGAATCTGGATTGGGATTGCATTGAATGTGTAGATTGCTTTGGATAGTATTGACATTTTCACAATGTTCAATCTTCCTATCCACAACCATGATATGTTCTCACATTTTTGTAGATCTCTTATGGCTTCTTGGAGTAGTGATTTGTAGTTTTCTTTGTACAGGTCTTTTGTGTCCCTAATGATATTTACTCCCAAGTATTTTATTTTTTTGGTAGCTATTGTAAATGGTATTGATTTCCTTATTTCCTTTTCAGCAATCTCTTTGTTGATTTTTGTATGTTGATCTTGTATCCCACCACTATGCTAAATCTCTCAATTTGTTCTAGTAGTTTTTTAGCTGAGTTTTTTGGGTCATATCATAAGCAAATAGGGATAGTTTTACTTCTTCCTTACCAATTTGAATGCCTTTGATTTCCCTTTCTTGCCTTATTGCCCTGGCTAGGACTTCCAATACAATGTTGAATAGAAGTGGTGATAGAGGACATCTTTGTCTCGTTCCTGTTCACAAGGGAAATGGTTTCAGTTTCTCTCCACTGACAATAATGTTGGCTGTTGGTTTTGCATAGATGTCCTTTATTATATTGAGGGATTTCCCTTCTATTCCTATTTTGCTGAGAGTTTTTATCAGGAATGAGAGTTGGATTTTATCGAGTGCCTTTTCTGCATCATTTGATATGATCATGTGGTTCTTTGTTTTATTTATGTGATGGGTGACATTGATTGTTTTTCTAATGTTAAACCATCTTTGTATACCTGGTGTAAATCCCACTTGGTCATAATGTAGTATTTTTTGGGATATGTTATTGGAGTCTATTGGCTAGGATTTCTTTGAAGATGTTTCCATCTATATTCATAAGGGTTGTTGGTCTATAGTTTTCCTTTTAATAATGTCTTTGCCTGATTTTGGTATCAAGGTTATGCTTGCTGCATAAAATGAATTTTGGAGGATTCCATCCTTTTCTATGTCTGGAATAGTTTGAGTAGGATCGGTGTCAGTTCTTTTCTGAATGTTCGGTAAATTCTCCAGTGAAACCATCTGGACCAGGGCTTTTTTTTGTTGGTGGTAATTTTTTTTATGACCTCTTCAATTTCTTCTTTTTTTATGGGTCTGTTTAGATTTTCCACCTCAGCCTCTGTTAGTTTAGGTAAGTAGTATGTTTCTAGATCTGTCCATTTCTTCTAGATTTTTGTATTTGTTGGAGTGTAGTTCTTCATAGAATCCTTATATTATCCTTCTAATTTCTGTTGGCTATTTTGTAGTGTCATCCAATTCATTTCTTGTGTTACTTGTATTTGCTTCCTCCTTTCCTTTGTTAAATTTGCCAGTGGTTTGTCAGTTTTATTATCTTTTCAGAGAACCAACATCGAGTCTTATTGTTTTAAATTTCCTTTTTTATTTCTTCTCTTACCCAGTCATTTTTCAGGAGGAAGTTATTCAGTTTCCATGTGTTTGCTCTTTTTCTGTTAATCTTCCTATTGATTTCTAATTTTATAACATTGCAATCTGAGAAGATACTTTGCAGTATTTCAGTGTTTTTAAAGGTATTAAGGTTTGCATTGTGGCCTAACATGTGGTCTATCATGAAGAATGTTCCATGTGCACCGCAAAAGAAAGTATATTGTGCTGTTGTTGGATGAAGTGCTCTATAGTTGTGTATAAGGTCAAGTTAATGAATTGTATTGTTCAGTTCTTCTGCATCTTTGTTTAGTTTCTTTCCAGTTGTTTTATCTTTCGGTGAATGTGGTGAATTAAAGTCTCCTCTGATGGTGTAGTTTCTAAAACATTTAATTGCTAACCAGAAGGCTGGTGGTTCAAACCCACCAGCTGCTCTTTGGAAGGAAGGTTGGACAATCTACTTCCCTAGTGATACCACCTCAGAAACCCAAGGAGGGGTCGCTATGAGTTAGATCCGACTCAACAGCAGTGAGTTTCTATGATTGTAAAATCATCTGTTTGTCTTTTCAGTTCTGTTAAAGTCTGATTTACATATTTTGGGGCTCTTTCATTGGGTGCATACATATTTATAATGGTTATGTTCTGTTGTTCAATCTATCTTTAATCATTATATAATATCCTTCCTTGTCTTTTATACTGGTTTTTGTCTTAAAGTCAGCTTTGTCAGAAGTTAATATTGCCACTCCTGCTCTTTTATGGTTGCCATTTGCTTGATATATCTGTTGCCAACCTTTGATTTTTAGTCTATTTGTGTCTTTCTCTCTAGATGTGTCTCTTGTAGACAGCATATCGATGGGTTATGTTTTCTTATCCAGTCTGCAACTCTCCGTCTCTTGAGTGGTGCATTTAATCCATTGACATTCAGTGTAATTATTGACAGATATGAATTTGTTGCTGTCATTTTATTATGTGTTTTTGTGGTGTTGCTGATTTCTTTGTTCCATAGAATTTTCTGTGCTGTGCTTATTTTGTTTATTAATCATGTTATCATTTTATTCATTGCTATTGTTTTACTATTTGTTGAATATTGTGCTTGTCCTCTTTTTTATTTTGATGTGAAGATTCATCATTTTTCTTACAGGTTACCCTGTGACTTATAATTTTCTCCCCAAGTTTAGAACAGTCTGTT